CACGCAAGAGAGGATGGGTGCAGGGGGGGGAAAAAAGCTGATGAGAATGGAAGGAGACCCAGAGCAGGAGGAGGAGAGACAGGTGGAGCTGCAGCAAGGTGGGAAGCAGGGTCCACCAGCATTGGGATTCTCCCTCCTCGCCAAATCCTTGCGGGGCCCCTTTTCTTATATCCAATCTGACAAACTATGATTTGTGCTTGACCTGCAGAGGAGGATTCTAAATAATGGCTTTGACTGATTTTTAACAGGTTTTGAAACTGGGTTTCCTTGGAAACGCAACCTATAGTTTGATGCGGGGGGTGGGGGGAGAGAAAACGATGGTTTGCCACAGATCAGCTGGCCATGCACAAGGAAGAATGGAAGGGCCCTATGAGCCCAAGAACCTCACAAGCTCAGTTGGGAGGAGGCAACAGCACAGGAAGGCCTTGGCTTCGGGGCGGGGGGGCTGAGTGAAACAAGATGCCAGGATGAGTCAGACCACTGGGTCAGGGCCAGCAGGGCTCTTATGATGGCCATTTGCATAGTGGCAAAATGTGGTTTGCTAATATCTTCGAGACTATGCCTCTGTAGGAAAACAGCAAACAGCTCTTTTTAGACTGACACTAGTAGCACATATGAATGAATGAATGAATGAATGAATGAATGAATTTTATTGTAACAGCGATTAGCCAGCAATATAAAACCAGAAAAAATAAATTACAATGGCCAAATAGTAAAATTTCCACAATTCAGCAAGGTAAAAGGTGCTAACAATATAAACTTTACATTTGTTAAAACCAAACTAAGAGTGCGCTGCCATAAAACACAGTATAGTATAAAAGCATAAAACATATTACCAAAGGGAACGGTACGTTCGGTTTGGAAACGGAGATGAGCACCGCAACCCTAGAGTCAGATTCGACTGGCTTTCGAGCAAGGGAACCTTTACCTTTACCTAGTAGCACATATTCTGACTTCTTCACCAGTTTATCCCAGTTTTTAAATGTACAATGATTGTCTTCCCTATGGTTACTTGTTCACACCCACAAACACAGAGAGTCTTGTTAGAGTCACTCTCCCATGATGTAATCCCATGTGGATGAGACAGAGAGAGCAAGATGTTGATCAGGTAGGAAAGACCCATATGATTGTAGGAATCAAATGACAGCACGGACA